ATATGTAACGATGACGTAGCGCAGATAAAGTCGTGTCTCATTATATATAGTACTTGTGACAACAGGCCAGCGAAAAATTTAACAATCTACAGCAAAACCATCAATTATTATGGGCGTCATAACATAGGTGTGCAGCTCGACGAAACATAGACGTCGAACCCCCCCCAGACGATTTAAATACCTGACGAAACATACACGTCAAACCACGCTGAACGGCTAGAAGAAAGAAGGAAAATAAAGGCAGTATTTTTAGCTTAAAGGTGAGGTTAGCAATAATTAAATTGCGGATGTAAACAGTTTGAATCACCTTTCCCTTACACCTGATTGGTTATCATTGTGTTTTTCTTTCTATTAGCACCAGTACTGTAAGAAGTTTAATTTGGCTGCGCCATTGGTAGAATGTACAAAGAACAACAAATAACTATGATACGATTCTTGTTGTCAGAGGATGTGAAAGCTAGTTAAATGTACCTTCGTTGTGTAGGGGCTGCATGTTGCACAGCCTCAGTACATATTTTGATATGACGCCTGAAAGCATGAATAGTGAAGCCATAATAAACGTTCAATGCTAGGCAACGGCTCGGTAAACACTTTCAAGCTGTAACGAATACGCAAGCAACAGTTTAAATTTTGTTGGGCTATAACTATGGAATCGGTGTGGCCATTTACTTTTCTCATAATTTAGGTCACCTGAGACTAATCTTACATTGAATGGACCGAATATCCCCTTCGACAATCATGTAAAATATATACGATAAGAGGATTACACGGAGGCTGCACATGGAAATGATTCAAGCCAGTGCCTTCAGAACATTTATTGGAATCTACTTCTTATTCGAAAGTGAATGTTTAAGCGCTAACATTAAACCCTCCGTAAGGCATTGATCAGATAAGTAATGACTTATGCTTACCCCGCCTGGGAATTAGGGACAGACATCCACCTCTCAAATTTGCAAAACCTAAAAAACAAGGTTATCCAAACCACTGGAAATCTTGCAATGTGCACACTGGCGAGGGATTTCCACATGGCTTTCAACCGTCCTTATATGTACGACTGTAGAATAAAAGTGTGCAGACGACAAGCAGAAGTCATACAAAATCATGATAATGTATATGTTCGTAGTATAGGACAAGGCGAAGCCAGACATAAAAAATATAAGAGGCTTAAACTCAGCGGAGGTCAAGCTTACGACCGTTCAAGTGACTAAGGTGCCGTTGTAGAATAAGCTAAGTGAGATAGACATGATCTGCTTTGCAAAGCCTGTACTGACAGAGGACTTGTATATAGCGCAAAAGAAAGAATTTTCAGTAACATGCTATATGTGTGATACTTACATTTGACGAAAGGCCAAGC